AGAGAAAAATAAATTGCTGATTAAAGTATGTCATGCTATTGCTTATACAATGCACCCCATCACCTCTCCTCCATACCCCACCACATGGGGCCCATTAAGGCACAGTGGATGAGTGTAGTCAAAACCACAACTAACCTCTGGGCTCTGAGAACAAGCATAGCAACTATACTGTCTGAAGATAAAAACACATACATTGGACAGAACTTTATTGTTTAGAAAGCCTTCTCACACCCATATCTCACTGGGTGTCTCACAGCTGCCCTGGAGTACAGAGAGATATGACTTGACACCTTGGCACCCAGGACTTAAGAGGGGACGGAAAACTGGAACTGCAGGCCCCATCTATTGAGTCCTACCTTCACGTTTTTTCAACTATTACACTGCAACCACTATCTAGGATAAGGTACAGACAGAACTAGTGAGGGTACAAAGAAGTGGCTTTTAAATCGTTTTCCCAATGAAATTTTTTACAGATCCTCCATGTACAAAACAATAAAATTGGTTTTGTTCTGGGTGAAGCAAGGGAAAAGGCCAGAAGAACCCCCAACCATACTGCCTTCACCCATCCCTCAACCCAGCTGGCCTCTAAGGTACCTCCCCAGGCTCCCCGAAGCTCTGAGGAACAATTTCCAAACCTGTAGAGAGGGGGCTTCCACTGTACTGGTAATGTTCTTTTTCTTAAGCTGGACTTAGATATTATTTTTATACCTTTTGTTATGTCTTAAAATTTTCATTAAAAAACAACAACAACACAGTGGCGGAGATGGTCAGTTCAAAGAGATGACTCACAGCTTAGAAACTTAAAAAAACAAAAAAAAGTTTTCTTTGAATTACTGGCTAGGGTGAAGCCTGGGCATCGAAACTGTCTTTAAAGCTTCTCAAGCGATTCTAATACACTGGAAAATTTATGAGCCTCTGTATGAGCGTTACCTTGTCAGCTCCAACATTCCAGAAATCTGAGGCTATGTCCTGGAGAGCCCAGGGTCTTTCTAAAAATATAATAGCAAAGGGATTGGGGGTCCTGGGAACTAGGGAAGAGGAAAACACAGCTGAAGTGACAGCAAAAGCAGGCAGTACCTCTGCTGGCCCCTTGGATAGAGAGGAGAGGCAGAAGAGACCACAGAGAACTGGTCATTTGAGCAGAGGTACAGCTGTGGATGGGTCCTTGGAAAGAAGAACACCTATATGGGTCCTGTCACCTATCAGAGATACATCAAGGAAGCATCACCCTCCTTGCTAAGACCTGCCTCGTTGTGAGATGCTGAGGCTACCAGCTGGCTGAGATGTAGGAGAAGATGTACAGAAGTTAGGAAGTCAGCTGTGAAGGGCAAAGCCCTTTGTGTCGTCCACTAGCAACAGGAGCAGCCTTCCTTATTGCCTCCCTGGGACATACTTAAACTCCTTTACCAAGCTCAGACATCCCAGATGTGCAATCTAGATGCTGGGTAAAGGCTGACTGGAAGAGGGGAAGGTACAGGCAGTAACAGACAGTCCTTGACTTTGGATTAGGCCAGCCTTGCTTGTTGCCAAAGTTAGCAAACCACATATCCTTTGAAAAAGGCATTGCAATCGTCAAATTGACATCTGTGTATCTCTGTTCCTCCACTGGCTTTGGCAAACCAGGATAAGGGAAAAATTCACTGGGGGATCAGCTAGTAATCATCTAAACCTGCTCCCTACCCATCTAAGATATAGATGATGCATTCCATAGGCTGGTGGGGCTTTTGCCATGCAAACACCAACTCTGTGTGCTCCAGGAAATGAAGGGTGACTCTGGTGGGGATGAACCTGATGGGGATGAGCCAAGGACATAGAAAAGCAGATGGATGGTTCCTTCCTCATCTTCTACCCACAGGTTTGGGGAAGATTCAGGGGGAACAGATACTGTCTCAGTTCTCTTCCACCCCTACACCGCCACCTCATCCAGGATCCCAACCTCACAGAGCCCTGCAGATAAGTAGGATGGGCCCCTTAGCAAGGAGGCCCAGAGGCTAGAGCTTGAGGTGCCTGGGCAAACAAAGACACACAGCCTGGGCAAAACTCACAAGATGGGCGATAGTTATACAGCCAAAGATTTGCCTTCAGGTAACAATAGTGCCTCCCAAGATTTTGCAGCACTCCAAGATAAGATCATTGCTCAAAGATTACATTCTATGGAGAAGATCCTGTGCCAGGGGCTGGAGAATAAATAAGATCCCACCCTGCTCTCAAGAAGCTCCATGTCCACAGTGTGAGAGAGCCTTAAGGAATTACACAAGAGGGGGGAAACTGCAGGCCAGGAGTGAGCAATAGGTGCTGTGGGAGCCAAATGGAGAGGAATCTAATGTGAACTGGGGCTCAGGGAAGATTGTTCACAGGAGATGACCCTTGAGCTGAGGCCTTTGGATGAGAAGAGAGAGTGGGGAGCTGATAAAACACCACAAAGAGAAAGGCAACGGAGCTGGAAATGGCAAGGCAAGAATAAATGGAGTAGGTATGCCTGGAAAAGAGGGTCTCTCCCTGAGTAATTGGGAGGGGGGTTGGGGGTGGCTGGGGATGAGAGGAAGCATAGGTGTTTACAAGGCCCAGGGAAATGAGGGAGTCATTTGCATTTGAAAGACCATTGCCTACAGATGGGGAAAAGACTGGAACTGGAACAAAGGCAGAAGCACTAGCCCAGGGAAAAGGGAGGGCCTAGGGTCATTGGTATTTAGCTCTTCCTGAAAAGTGAGACACAGAAAGGTCATGGGCCCAACTTTTGTCCCCTCCATCTAACAGCCTCTTTTCTTCCTTCTTTCTGGGCCATCTCTAGCCTGGACCCTTGTGTCTCCCTCACCTCCCAACTTCTATGCCTTTCAGCTCTGCTTTGAGGCTTGCCAGGGTCAGGCCTGCTTGCAGCAGAAACAACAATAGGATTGACTCCTCTCTGTCATGCAGTCATGGTCTTACTTTCCCCTCTCTTGCCTTCCACATCATTTCCTGGCTCTCCGCCCACATTTCCTCCTATCTCTTTCAGGGCTGGGGCCTGTGTGCAAGGTTTGCCTAGTAACCCCAGCAGCCCAAACAGACCATGGAGTCTGGGGGTGAGTGTAAAGCACAAGGGTTTTGGAGTCTAATAAACTGGCTTCACAATCCAGCTCCTCATTTATTAGCTCTGTCTGTCAGGTGGGGACAGCATTACTGGTCAACTCACCGTGCTTTTGTGGTTATCACAGGAGGTACTGTGTATGGACAGATTTAGCATCTTACCTGGCTCATGGTCATAGTTATGCTGTAAGCAGTTAGACATGAGCAAAGCAAGAACAATGGGCCAAGTACAGAAAGTCACCAAGATGGAGAGCCCCAGGTGCCTAACAATTGGCAATTAATTGTAGGGTGGGACATCACCCCCAGGATGACTTTTCCTCCCCTAGCATATCAATAGTCAGGAGGTTTGGGCCCCCTGACCTTTCCTCCTTAGAGATAACCTCTATGCTTCAGTTTTATTTCAGCTCCAGGCCCAGCAGCATTGAATAATCACCCTTTGCCCTGGAGCACTGGAGAAGCAAACCTCCTGAAAGGACACACCTGGAGAACTTCTAAATATTCTATTAAGATCTTTCCCTGGCTCAGTTGGCTTGGCTCAGTGACTGAGCATCAACCTATGAACCAGGAGGTCGGGGTTCAATTCCTGATCAGGGCACACGCCCGGGTTGTGGGCTTGATCTCCAGTGAGGGACATGAAGGAGTCAGCCAATCAATGATTCTCTCTCATCATTAGTGTTTCTACCTCTCTCTCTCCCCCTCCCTTTCTCTCTGAAATCAATATGTATACATATACAAACATATATACATATATATATACATACATATATACATATACACACATATATATATTAAAGATCTTTCTCTGGGACCTCCCCTAAAATTGCCACCCTTAAAACCCTTAGGATGGAGGACCCAGTGCGCTCTCCCGCTTGGGAGCATGCCTATGCCTTTACCTTCCCTCTCCATTTCCCTCCTCACCCCAGGCACCTCACCATTAGCTTCCTCACTGCCACACTCCAAGGGCTCTTCTTTTACCTCTATAACTTGTTTGCTAAACCCATATCTTTTAGGAATTACTTTTTCTATCTCTGTAATTTACCCAATACATCTATTACAGTTTGGGTCTTGCTCTGAATTCTTTCCTAGCCAGAACCCAAGTACTGAGGTTGCTGAACCCAGGTTTGGTCTGACCCCCCCTCCCCTCGCCCCAGTCAGACACATGGTGCTGTTCCCGTGGCCTATAACAGTTATTGTTTTGTAGATGGAGAACCTGGGGTGCAAAAGAACAAATGACTTGTCCTACGTGGTAGTTTTGCGGCCCTGCCTCATTGATGGTCTGGGTGCCCAAATACTGGCCAGTGAGGACATCCACCAGCACTGGGTCCCACTTGGCCAGCTGTGTCCCTTCTAGAAGCAGCAACACCAGTAAAATGCCAAGGAGGGTCTCTGTCTAGGGTAAAGGCAAGCTGGGCTAATCAGACTCACCATGGCTGGTCAGTGGGTAGCCTTGGACAGGCAGGTCTGACTGTTCCCAAAGTTTAGGGTTATCTCATTCACTTCTCCCCATAGGCCATTCTGACCTGTGCTGGGCACAGGCCTGTGTTGAGTGCTAGTTCAGAGCCAGTCCTCAGGGAACTTGGGATGAGTGAGCCTCAGCATGTTGACTTCAAAGTCGCCTTCTCTAATTCAGTCATCCAGCCTGGCCCCATGCACCATGGGCGCAATGAACCCAGCAGATGTCCCCAGCAGACAAGCTCTGCTAAGAGCAAAAGACTCCCTGGGTCCCTGGCAGCCCTGGTGGAAGCAGGCAGCATGTGGGAATTTAAGGCCACACATCCTGCCACACAGATCCCAGGGCAAAGCTGTGCTGAGAGCACTAGCTGCCCTTTGGTGGTCCCCTCCATGGTGTGTGTGACTAACAGCCTCTTTTGTCTACTTTTCAAAGCAGAGGGCCTTCTGAGAGGGTTCTGGGAAGCAAGGCCAAGACTCCTGGGTTCTCATAAATCTTTTAATAACAGTAAATGAAGAAAACATTGTAACAGCAAGTCCAATGGTGAGGGTTCCTTTCCATTCAGGGGTCTTCAACAATAAAAACACCTAAGACTAAAATGCAGAATGCCAAGTACACAAATTAATGACTATTTATTTCCAAAGGTGATTGCAGAAACCATTTCAGTACAATCAAAAGGTTATAGAAAACTGGGAAAACATGTTACAAAATGCCCCAAGAGGTGAGCAAACTGGTGGGGGCACAGAGCACCCAAGAACCAGCTTAGAAAAAATACTCACCCTGCTGCTGTTTAAAGGGATTAGAGAGACTGGTCCTAAAGGGAGTCACAGAGGAGAAGGAGTGACGACAGGGATGGTCTGCCCAGTGCATAGCAATCTGTCTTGGGAATGAGGAAGGATGGGGGAAGGGGGGCAGTAAGAGGGAAAGAGTCATTTGCCAATTTTCTGGCAGAAATAATTACAGATCAGACTATCTTATTCTCTGTACCACAATAACACCAATATAAATGAAGAATTCTTTAAAATATAATACAAAACTGACACCAAAAGAAAGCAAGTTTCCAAAACAAGAGCTTTGCTTAAAATGACTTTTGTTTTGTTTCGTGCCACTCAGTAGCAATCCACTGTACAAAAATGTCACAGACAAGATCAACAACAAATGACTAGGTTTTCCTGAGCACAAAGTGGCTCAGTCTATATACAGAAGAGGAAGGCTCACTCCCTGTCAGGACTCTACCCACCATCCAGAGGGCAGGCAGGGCATGCAGCAGGAAGGCCCCTTCTCAGTCCGGGGCCTTGACAAGAAGCACGAGAGGGCCTGTGGGACCCCCTCTCTTATGCCTGCTCCAGATTTACCAAAACCAGCACTGCATCTGCATCTACTCTTCTTTTCTCCTCCAATACCGCCTCTTCAGTCTTCCAAAGAGAACAGATGAATCTGGATCAACATCTACAAATCCAGGGAAGTCTTTTTGGCCAAGGGAGCAGGAGGAAGGGCCTTCTTTCACCCACTGAGCCACCCAGATTACTTCCAGGGCACCACCCAGTCCCAACAGTGCCAGGAGACCTGCTGACAACTTGTCATTTGTGGGGAGCTGTGCCCACTCCCCAAAACACTGAATTATCAATGAGCACAAATAGCAAAGCTCTGGCTGAGGCTGTGGCAAGAGAGATGATCTGATACCTAGACTTGTGGTACTAGATCAGCCGTGGGCAAACTACGGCCCGTGGGCCAGATCCGGCCTGTTTGAAATGAATAAAACTATTGAAAAAAAAGACCGTACCCTTTTATGTAATGATGTTTACTTTGAATTTATATTAGTTCACACAAACACTCCATCCATGCTTTTGTTCCGGCCCTCCGGTCCAGTTTAAGAACCCATTGTGGCCCTCGAGTCAAAAAGTTTGCCCACCCCTGCACTAGATGGTAAAGTGTGCCAACCACCCCATGTATCCCAACCACCCTGCAAGCAGCTTCTGTGAATTCTGGGAAGTTCAAGGATAAAGAGAGAATATTGACTTGGGGAAACTGAGTCTGTACTTTTCTCACAAGCGCACAGAGGTATGCATCACTGGGAAGAAGATGGGCCAGATCATCTTTGGTGTACAAAACCAAATTCTGAGACCACAAGCAGACGGTCCATATTTCTGCTATTATGAGCTGATGCCACAAGTTGAGCAGCTGACCAGACTGTTTTCATTGGCCCAGATTCTTGGCCAGGGCTACCCAGGGGCTTGAGGGAACACTCACTTCTCTTCTTAGGGCTGTTTTAAAAGAAACTGTCCACTTCTATAGACACTCTCTCAGACACACACCAAGCTCTCACACACTGGCTAATGACATATGGAAACTTGGCTAGGGTGGTTGGGAAACCTCCTTGGCACTGAGAGGAAAGCTCTGGGGAGGAGCTAGGCAGCCTGGGCCCACTGGGAAGGGCGCCACCCTCTAGGCAGGCTGCTGTGGTTCTGGTCAGGTTACCTTTAAGAGTGAGGTACAGACCAATTCAGGTGCATGCTGCCCCCTAACACCTCAAACACAATCCCTGGCTCCTTGTGGAACCTCTGGACTAGGCTCACTCTCTGTTTCTTCTACCTACATGTTTCTGAGCCAACCTGGCCCCCAGAAACCCTGCATCTCCCCTTCACTTCCTCCTTCCCCTGACAGGTGTATCTGTCTCTGGCCTGGCCAGAGCAGGCACATGGCTTTCACTCTCTTCTTCCAAGCAGCAGAAAATGCCAGCTAGATCGGGACAGTGAGCTGTAGCCAGGGCAAAGGCCAGCTTTTAGAAGCATGCCAATGCAAGGAAAGCTCAGGCTGACTGGCAACCTGTGCCATGCCACACAGACAGAGAGAAAGAGAGCTCATTCAGAGTCACTTACGCCACTGTGGTCAGCTGAGGTACATCATCTGCCTACAAAGATTCCATGTACTGGTAGGGGACAGGACAGGCCCTCAAGGGCTCCACCCATGACCTCCTTCCAACTTTTTCTTTTGTGAAGAGGCCGAGGGGCACTAAGGCCTTAGCAGTTTGATGGTGGGCAAGGAAAATCAAGCCAATCAAAAGGTGCCTCTTCTGGAAGGCAACCCTAGGGTGAGAGACACTAAGAAAAACTTGGCCAAGCCCGCAAAGACAGCAGAAAATGAAGATTGCATGTCATGAGGAGCTCGTGGGAACTGGGAGTACCCAGTTTTCTGCCTCCTGTTCCCCCAACCCCTGGAGACTGATCACCTCAGTGCCAGCAGGCCTCTGTGAAAGGGTGGTCCATGATTGCTTCCCTGGGCCTTACCTTACTCAGAGACTCTCCTACATTCTACTGCCTCCTGTAGGTCCATTTGTGAAAATCATGATCACTGAGTCACCGAAGCTCAATCTACATCTAATACAGGAACACCTGAATTTCTGGAACAGGCCCAGAGCAAATGGGTTGCCTAGAGGGGGAGGTGGGAGGGGAGGCTCACCAGAGGAAGTCATTAAACCATCTTTTCTCTGTGTTTTTTTTTAATGTTTTTAAAATTTATTTTTTGAGAGAGAGAGGAAGGGTGGGAAAGAGAGAAACATCAATCAGCTGCCTCCTGCACGCCCCCTCCTGGGGATCAAGCCTGCAAACTGGGCATATGCCCTGAATGGGAATCAAACCTCTTGGTGCATGGGACAAAGCTCAACCAACTGAGCCACACCAGCCAGGGTTCTTTTCTGTTGTTAAGCAAATCTGTTCTTAGTATGAGCTAACAAGCAATCAGCAAAAGTCAAGCTACTGCCTCCCTTTTTGAGATCCACGCATGACTGAGCTCAAGTCTTTCAACGAAAGGTCTTCATTTGGAGCACGTGAATCTTCACCCCTGGGGACTTGATTCCTTGATACCTCCCTTTCAAACTAGACATGGGCTTTGGGGTGGGGAGCATGTGATGACTCCCAAGCTAACCAATTCAGCACTGAGTCTGGCTACAGTGACAAGATCTGGACCTAGGGAAACAATACCAGCAGGATCTGTATCTTCCCCAAACCTGGATGCTGACATATCCTGTAAGACCACAAAATATATTGACAAGAGCCCCTCTAGAGATAGGCCCTGATGCAAGGATTCTCCAAACTCAAACACCCTAAAACAAATGAGCAAGCAAATAAACAAAAACAAAACACACACACAAAAACCCCTACAAAAAAACAACTCTAGCTCATCCTTCCCTGAAGCTGCCTTTGAAAAGAGAGAAAAAAAAAATTTAAGGGGCACTCAATATTAAAGAGGAATCTATTATCAATACTAAACTAAACTGGAGCATATGATTCAAATCACTATTTTCTCAAGTTACCACTTCTGCTGATTAATTTCTATGCTCACTTCTGATTGGAATATGGGTCAGTTCTCAGCTCCACTGGCAGAATGTACCCAGGGTCCTGCTTAGTATTAGTTGTGGACATTTTAACCTTGTTCACTTTGGATTTGCCACTGCAACAGCTCTCTATCCTCCTCAATGGAATCAAACCTTTGGGCTGGGTAGTGCCCCACCTCCCATTGCAGGCAGCCTCCTGGAGAATGTGGCTGGTTGGCTGCTTGCTTTGAGTCATGGGGCACCAATGGGAAGAATCTGGCCAGTTCTATTTTGGCCATGAGCTGGGAAGTCCCTTGGCTCTTGGCTTGCCGCTGGTATAGAAACAAGGCCTCAGTCCCCTTATGGTGGGGGCTATGCTGGAGACAAAAGGGGACCCCAGCATAAATCTGTAGGTCCCTGGCAGTGGAGAAATGAATTGCAACCAATCTCATCACTGCGATGCCAAAAGTACTACTGCTTGTTGTTCCCTTTATCCTCAACCAGCTGTTGTTAAAGCACCAACAAGCAGTGAAAGCTACTGACTACCGTCTCTCCATATAAGGCCACTAGGAGCAGGGAGAAAGAGCAAAGGGGAGGAGGACAAATCCAGCCATCAGCACTATACCTCAGGTTCCAGGTGACATCCTGGGAGGAAGAGCTGGGGAAGGAAGAGTGGTGGAAGAAAGGGACAGAGAGGAGGAAAAAGGAAATACACCAAATATCCTACTGCCCTCTCCCATGATTTCATTAAGAACTGGGTGTTCTCCAAGTCAAGTCAGGACTTGTTTCCTCAGGGAGAAAAAAAAAGCACCTTCAGTCTATTTTTTTGGCTGGAAGCCGGAGCAAATCCAGCAGATATTTACACAAGGGCCCAACCATGTATGAGAACAGGATGACCAGCTTCCCGTGGGTCATGGTCATGAGAGTCTGGTGTCCCGAGGCCCAGATGCGATACCAGGGGCCGTAGAATGGGTCTGAGATGGCCGGACACAGCATGTTGTTCAAATTCACTTCGGTGACCTGCAGGGACAAGGGAGGTAGAGTGAGCGTTTACCATCCTTAGGCTTTCTCTGGCTTCTGCCAGTTCAGCCATCTCTACCTAAAGGGGGACTAGACAAGTAGGGATTGACAAATCCCCACCTGTTCATAAACGGGATTTTTCTCCCCTAGGTTTTAGGAGTGGGTCAAGGCTAGAGCCCACAGGAGGTGACGGGGAAGGCCGTCCACTGGAAAAGCTGTTTGGTTTTGCTCCACCTTGCCTTCTAGGTTGAGTGTAGGGCCCGTTGCTATTCCTAAGCATCCACTATGTGCCTAGTTCCTGGAGACATGTTATGGGAGAAAAGAACAGTCAATGGCATGGTCCCTGCCTCCACATAACTGGCAACCAATCAAGTTGGGGTGATCAATTTGCCATATTTGACCTCAGACCAGACGGAGCTCACCGGGTGTTCCCCACCAGGAGATCTGCAGAGTGTACAAAATGGGGGCCAAGTCTTCAGGGATGATTTCATGAAGGAAGTGGTGCCTGAATGGACTCATGAAGGATGGATGGGTGTCATGGCAAGAAATGGAGTAAGCAGAGCCTTCCTTGTAGGAGGCATGGCCTAAGCCAGGCCCGGAAGTGGGACTGAGTATGGTGACATGAGGACACTGACTTCTCTGGAATCAAGGAGACTCAGTAGAGAGCAGTATGAATAAGGGTGTGAAGATCATATTACTTTATTCCTATTGTGCATGAAGCATTCACACCTTCAGCCAGGAGTGCAAACCACGCTCCAAAGTAAACCAGAGCAGAATAATATGCCAGGGTGGGGAAGAGAAGGTAACTGCTTCCACAAAGGCACTGGTGACATCGGTTACATGCCCTAAACCTGCCAGGTCCCAAAAGGCTCCACAAGGAAAATGCTACATTACTGCCGCTCACACACAAAACCAGACATGCCACTCCTGCCCCAAGGACGCCACAGCACCTTCCTTCCAAAGCCCTTCAAGCCCATTCACATTAAAGAGAAGTCCTCACCACCTGTTGGGGAGGCTGGGGTTTTGTACCATGTCACAGAGGGGTGGAGACCTCTCCACCCTTGAGAATGAAGTGACTTACCCAGAGCAGTGGCAGAGCTAGGACTTGAACTTGGGTCTCCTGACCCCCAGCCCCAGCCCTGAGCTCCTTATATTCACTTTGCCATCAACAGACAACCATGCAGTCAGCAATCATGAGCTCTGGGTAACTCAACTACTGAGTCTAGCTATCATCCACACTCCAGACAGGTTTGAACAGCCCAGAATGCCACAGGGGTCCCCCAACATTGCACTTCCGCTGACCACATATCTCAAGGTCTGGGAATAGGCTCAAAAGCCTACCCAGGCCCCGAGTGAGGGTTAGGGTCCTCCTCCCCATGGGATCCACAGCAAACTACTTTCCAATTGCAGCTCACTGTTTCCAACCCAAGTGGCCAGGAGTAAAAGGCGGCATCCTTGCCTCCGGATGTATGAAAGAAACAGCCAATACTAAAGGATTCAGAAAACTCTTTAGAGAAGCCAAGGCTATAGATCATAAATCAGTAACCCAGACACAACAATCTGACATCTTGGCCTTTGGCATCTTGTATTTTTAAAACAAAACGATACACCAGCGCCAACCAGGATTATCAAGATTTATGGAGAACTCCAAACAGAGGGGATAGAAGGGGATAGAACTGAACTTACCAGGCCCAAGATCTGTAAGATGCTGAAGTGATAAAAGAACATGAGGCCAGTTGAGAGAAGGGCCCACCGGAAACTGCTGAGGGGCTCTGGGGTGTAAGCACCTGGAAGAAAAGGGGAGATGGTGAGATAGCCGGGTTGGTGACCCACTTCTCCTCCTTTGCCCCATGAGGTGCAGGTGCTGAGGCCACAGCTGCTGCCTGCCGATTACCTCCTTTCACTCCTCGGTGACAGCTACCTAAGAGGCAGCCCTGATATCTGGGTACTCCAATCAGCCCCCTCCCAACCTCTGTTCTGCCATGTAATGCTGGGGCCATTACAAAGAGAGGGCTTTTATTTATTGAAAAAGTAATAAAATAAAATAAAAATGTAACTAGAATTGAAATATGCTATAAGTGCAAAATACACAGATTTTGCATATGAAAAATGTAAAATATCTTAATTTTTATATTGAATACATGTTGAAATAATATTTTGAATATATTGAGTTAAATAAGACATCATTACATTTAATTTTTAAAAGTAATACGAGCTCATTAAAGGAAATTTAGAAAATGTTAAAAGAAGAAACATTTGGAGGAAAAGAAGAAAAACATCCTCAGCACTCAGTTACCCAAATGCAGCTACTGCTAACCTGAGGGGGTGTCTCCTTGGTTCTTTTCTCTGTGCTTTAGAGGTTCCTTTTCTTTTCTTTCTTTTTAAATTACTAATTGTTACACACACACACACACACACACACACACACACACACACACACACTCTGAGTGGCCAGATTATTATGACCACCTGATGTTTGTAGGCAAATTAGCTATAATTTCACGCTGAAGTTGCTAGAGGGCCAGACCATTATAAATAGGGAAGCAGGTTGTTTACCACGACAGTGGAAGTGATTTTTTTCTAAGGATAAGGGTAAATAACACGATTTAACAGCCCTTGAATGTGGGATATATATTATTATGAGTGGCTACCTAGATTATTATGACCACCCCAGCAATACTTCGTTGGGCCACCTTTTGCCTTCAATACTGTGGCGATTCTCCTTGGCATTGACTTCACCAGATGTTGAAAGGTGATGCGAGGAATCTGACACCATGCCTGATGAATAGCACTGCCCAGTTCTGTGAGATTTGATCGTTGTGGAACCAGCTGCCTGATGGCTCTTTTGACTGCATTCCACAAATGCTCAATTGGATTGAGATCTGGTGATTGTGGGGGCCACCTAAGCAAGGTAAAGTCTCCCTCATGTTCTTGAAACCACTCCTGCACAATACGAGCACCGTGGCATGGAGCATTGTCTTGTTGGAAGAAGCAATCTCCATTGGGTTATGCCATCAACATGATAGGATGAACCTGATCAGCAATGATACTTAGGTATGTTGTGCTATTCAGACGTTGTTCCACACAAATTAAAGAGCCCAAATCATGCCAGGAAAACATGCCCCAAACCATAACACTGCCCCACCAGCTTGAAGGGTTGTACTCATGCATGTGGGGTGCATGCTTTCATGCTGTTTCTGCCAAATTCTCACTCTGCCATCTGCATGATGCAACTGGAAATGAGATTCATCGGACCACATGACTTTTTTTCAATGCTCGACTGTCCAATCCTTGTGTTCCTGTGTGAACTGGAGACATTTTATCTTGGTAACTGCAGACAGCAAAGGTGTTCGAACAGGCCTTCAGCTTCCATATCACATAAGATGCAGTGTACAGCTAATTTGCCTACAAACGTCAGGTGGTCATAATAATCTGGCCACTCACATTCAAATATATCCCACATTCAAAAGCTGTTAAATCATGTTGTTTACCCATATCTTCAGAAAAAAATCACTTCTACTGTCGTGGTAAACAACCTGCTTCCCTATTTATAATGGTCTGGCCCTCTAGCAACTTTAGCACGAAATTATAGCTAATTTGCCTACAAATGTCAAGTGGTCATAATAATCTGGCCACTCAGTGTATGTGTGTGTGTGTGTGTGTGCATCTCCTTTATTTCCACATTTATTTTAATCACTCCCTCATGTTTCAGAAGAGAAATGTCATTTATTGGGTATGGCATGGTGGTTGAGAATATAAACTTTGATTTCAGACAGATTTGGTTTTAAATCTGGATTCTACCACTTACTGGCTATGTGACCCTGAAAAAGTTGTTTAAACTCCCCAACTCTCAGTTGAGTTTTCTCTAAAATGGGGATAACAATCCTACCTCCTTCGTAAAGTTGTGAGGAGTAAAAGACATAATAAATTAAGAGCTATTAGAATGAGATATGTTACAATGTAAATGTGTAAATGTGTGTTAGATGCTATAATTATCACACCATTACTATTATTCAAATAACTAAGGAATATGCCACATCCAATGGTTGTGCCATATCCCAACTGCTAGACAACTCCTTCTCCTGGTACACAAAGAATGATATCTTTTCCCTCTATGTCACTAAGAACCTCCATCTCAGTAGGCTTAGATGTATTCCATAGCTTGCAGGGCAGGGGTATGTTTTAGAGAATGTTGTGTCACCCTTAATGGAGACTTGGAGGGAAGTGGTTCAGAATGAAAGGAACCTGGAATCCTCTACCACAAGCAGTAGGTGGCAACATTACTTCCTGGAGTAGTATTTTCCCAAGTAAGTCTTATACTGATTCATCCTTTCATCCATCGGTTATTAGCAGCTATTATATTCTAAGCCTTGTGCCAAGCTTTGGGGATAGGAAGATAAAAAAGAAAGGCTCCCTGCAATCTCAGACTCACAGTCTGGCAGGGTAGGAAGACAAGGCAGTCAACCATCATAAACCAATATGATGGGTACGGTGACCAAGGTCTGCACGACAGAGTGTTATGGAAGACCAGAACTCAGCTTTGGGGGAAAGGTGTGGAAACAAGAACTACTTCTTGGTTCAGTGGGCACAGAGTCCTGAAGGGCAAATGGGATTTAAGAAGGGGCCTGGGTATGCCAAAGCAGCAGCCTACACTAAGGCAGATGTGGGTGGGGAGCCACACAATTCAGAGAACAATGGGTAAGAGCTGGGACCACAGAGGAGAGCGTGCTGGGGTAGTGAACTGAAGTAAGACTTAAGAGGTTGGCAGAGCTGGTCTGTTCCAAGCTGGGCCATGTAGGACTTTAGGAGCCAGGCTGAGGGCTTTGGGCTCCATCCTAGGCTGCAGGGTCATGAGCCCAAATGCCTCAAGTCTCTGGCAGGTAACTGGGAGCAGGGGATGGCCAGGGACAAAGAGATATTAGGGATGCTGGAGACTGGCCAATGGAAAGCCCATGCCCTTTCTAAAGAGGGCAACCACCACTCAGTTCCAGCCAATCACTGCCCTGCAAGGATGTGGGCCCAAAATTGCCAGGTTTTTTTTTTCTTTTCACTTTCTCAAGAGAAGCCAGAAATATGAACTTTCATGTGGAATTTCCTGATTTCTAAATGTTGGCAAATAATTAAAAATGTTTTAAGCAAGCTCAATGGACCAAACAAAACATGTCTTCTTAGATGGATTTCAGCCCACAGGTGGCCAGCTTAGTGCTCTGCTGCAGAGCCATAGAAAACAGTGGAAGCTTTGAAGCTGGAAAGTGATTCGATCAAACATTTACTTGAAAAAGATCACCCTGGCCTACTCATATGTGGGGGATGGCCTGGAGCAGAGGCTGGGAGACTGATAAGGAGACTGTTGGATGAACCCGAAGAGGGAAAAGGATGGATGGCCTTCAAACATAATAGCAGTGGGGCTGGAGAAAAGTGGAGGAAAATCACTAGGAAGTGGTGGAAGATTGGATGTTGGGAGGAAGGGTGAGGAAGGATCTAGGAAGCTTGGAAGGCTTCTAGTTTGGGCATGATTGGGTTGACAGTGCCATTTATTGTGATGGAAAAGAAAGGGAAAAGCAGATTGGAGAGAAGGTAGGGAAACGATGAGGCCAATTTTGGGCATGTTGAAACTGAAGTGTCTGTGGAATATTACAGTGGAAATATCTCTCGATACCTGGATGCACTGTAGAAAATACAGTGTGATGGGTGACTGTGGGCACCGGATCCTGGCAGACACAGGTTTTCATATCCTGGCTCTTGTCACTTATTAACTCCAGGCCTTGAGCAAGCCTCAATATCACTCATCTGTAAAATGGGGTACCACTGCCTAATTCACAAGGTTCTTGGATAGATGAGATAATTTAAGTAATGATTGTAGTGTCAAATCTGGAATTTGAAAAATGCTGATTATTTTTATTATTACAGGCATATCTCAGAGATATTGCAGGTTTGGTTCCAGACCACTGCAGAAAAGTGAGCCACACATTTTTTTTGTTTCAGTACATACAAAAGTTATGTTTACATTAGATTGTAGTCTATTAAGTATGCAATAGCATTATATCTTTCAAAAAGCAATGTACAGCCTTAGCTGGTTTGGCTCAGTGGATAGAGTGTCAGCCTGTGGACTGAAGAGTCCCAGGTTCGGTTCCGGTCAAGGGCACTTAGTGGGTTGCAGGCTGGATCCCCAGTAGGGGGTGTGCAGGAGGCAACTGATCAATGATTCTCTCTCATCATTGATGTTTCTATCTCTTTCCCTCTCCTTTCCTCTCTAAAATCAATAAAAATATATTTTAAAAAACAGTGTACATACCTTAATTTATAAAAAATGCTAACCATTATCTGAGCCTTCAATGAATTGTAATTTTTTTGCTGGTTGAGGGCCTTGCCTTGATGTTGAGAACACAATATCTGTGAAGCTCAATAAAGTGAGGTATGACTGTATGTGAATCACAAAATCAGTAAAGAGGATGGGGCTGAACATCCAGTTATAGGTGTCATCAGTACATAATGGTAACTGAAGTCACAGGAGTGCATGTAGACCAAGAGAGGAAGAAAGCTGGAAGCAGAATACCAAGGAACACCATGGGGTGGGGTGGGGGTGGAGGGCAGAAGATGAGTGAGATGAGGTGACTAAAGCCAAGTTGGGTCTTCTCGGGGAGCAGCTCAGCCTTGCTCTCTGACAACAGCCAGGCTCACAGAACATCTGAGTTTGAAGGCCCTTTGAAGGTATCAAATTCATCCCTCCATTGTATAGATGAAGAAACTTTGGATGAGAGATGTGCAGCACATCAGCCAAAGTCAC